AGTAGTTGCATATGCACCATAGCCATAAGGGTTCACTTACACTGCTGTTCGAAGGTAGTATCATGTGCTTTTGTGTATCTAAACATTCTTGGTCATCCCCGTCGTTTGAAGTTTTAAATCGAATGCTGAGTTGTACAATGTCCATGTTGCTTGTATCCTTTTACACGCACCTAGAGAGTTCAACTTGTATGCCAACGTTCGACCCTGCAAGTCGATTGAAGGCTATAAGACCCCGTATGACAATGTCAATCTGGTTACAATCCGTGAAAACACCGAGGGAGAGTATTCGGGAATCGAACATGTGGTACGTCTCTTTTGTGGTTCCTATCAGTATCGAATCTCATTGCCAAATACCATTTGGTTTTCGTTTTAAGTATCTGTTCTCTGTCCTTCCTTCTAATGCTCTTTCCAGATTGTGGATGGTGTTGTGCAGAGCATCAAACTCATCACCGAACAAGCTAGTAGGCGTGTTGCTAGCTTTGCGTTCAAATATGCCCGCGACAATGGGCGACATACCGTGACCGCAGTTCACAAAGCCAATATCATGTGAGCGAAAATGTAATGTAAAAAACAGCCTGTTTTAACTGTTCATATGTTCTTGTTCTTTTCATAAGTTTTCAGGTTTGCAAATTGTTTTCTCGTCAATACTCGTTTCAAGTTTGTATTTATGATTCCCGTGGCTTAATTGACAAAAGATCAAAATGAGAGCGTAAATTGTAGTCTTTTTGCTTGCATGTGTACTGTTGAATACTGCGAAATAGATGTGTGACATAGAAAAGTGTTCGGCAAACAAGTAATACAGTGTCGTCAAACCCACACAAGGAACGGGGAGCATAGTCAATGCAGTAAAGCATTCGATGTTGTTAACCGTACCAATGGTGAAAAGAAACGTTGAAACTCGTAGCTTGCTAGGGCTTCGGACAGGAAACAAATGGCAACTGGGTTAGCGTTAGCCTAATGAGGCCTTTTGTTGTTTTGCTTTCGAATTCACCTTCAAATCGCATCCTATCCTACACCGAATTACTCAGTCTAGCCGTCCCTATCTCATCAACCTCTATAAATACGCAATGTTCGGTGTTATGCTTGTTTACCACTCATTTTAATTTTTTTTTGGAATGTATTTATATCTATTTTCAACATTGTCAGTGGAAAAATGAAGCTGGCTTCGCTGTTTTCTGACTGTTAATCAACCTCATTTCATCGGATGTTACGTGATGCTCGTTTTCGCGGTCCGGGACTGCCGAACCCCTGTACCGATCAATAGACCTTCATGCCCTTGGTTTTCACTCCTTGTTTTGAGTTTTGCAATAAAGCGTCCGTTTTTCTTCAGATTCCGTTCCAGAAATGGGTCTATTATTCCTAATTGATCTCCCATCGTTTATTTTTTTATTATTTAGGCGCATGTCTGACGGTCTGTTTTTGCGTGCATGCCGAACGGAGGCGGCAAAGAATACAGACATTCATTTTCGGGAAATGTTCCTCGATACCGTATGCTTGAACGTAAGTGTTTCACCAAAGTTTGCTTTGGAAGTTCATATTACTTTTGTCGTTATTATATATCTTATTTTATAAAAGGAACTGAATGGCAACTAAAATCGATTTCTCAGTTCCATAAAAATCTATTTTCGGTGTGTTTTATGCTAGAACCATCATTAACATCAGTGATCGCTTCAGAACCTGATTCGAACTGTTCAGGAATTGTCTGAAA